CTTTGTTTTGTCCACTTTCATAATTGATTTCTGAGGGGTTTTTTTCCATACTGAATAATCAGTACAGTGTTTATATGCTATGTGGGGTTACTGAGTGACTTTGATGATGGACATCCAGTTTGCCAATATTCTGTAGGTCACAGTCACAATCATTTAACAAGATTAATAATTTAGTAAAAGTCACCACCAGTTTCTGGGATTAGTGCATGACAAAATTTTGTTGATTCAGGGAAGAACTACAGTGGGTCTGGAATATATTCAGACCCCTTCAGTTTTTGTATACTTTGTGTTATAGATTTAATTTAAAATGGAATTGTTGCCAGCAATCTTTACACAATAATGTTTGACAAAACAAAAATATTTTTGGAAAGCAAAAACAGACTGCACACAACCTCAGATTTGGCTGAAGGTTCAGCTTTCATCATGGTGCTTTTACAAGGTACTGAATTAAGGGTCTGAATACTTGTCTAAATGAGACAAAATGTGCAAACATTTCCAACAAACTTGTTTTTGCTTTGTCATTATGGGTTATTGTGTGTCGATCCATTTAGATTAAATCTATAACACCATAAAGTGTGCAAATAAACGGAAAGGGTCTGAATACTTTTCAAACACACTGTATATGTCAAAACCAGTCAATGTCAATGCCTACACTGGCGTTTTCAGACGTTTTCCAAAAATTGCCTGTTCACACTGAAACGTCTGAAAACACTTACATCCCTATATTGTGCTTGCGTAAAAACGTAAGAACCTTTGGCCTGGATCATTTCTGTCTGGCGTTTATTTACTTTTCGTCTCTTTGAATTGATGCGGTATTGTCAAGGAAAAGCACTGAGTTTTTTTAATAGACAGACGAAGAGTTGGAGTTGTTGCTGTGGGTAACCCAAGACTGCAAAGGCAGGTGAAAATGTAGACTGGGAATCGTGCCAAAACAAATATGGTGAAATATTGGACCGGTTCAAGGAGCACTATCCTTCTGCTGACGTGGCTTACCCCGACAATAAGAATGATCTCACAAAAGTAATAATAACCACAAAATTGAAGGTAAGGCTTAAGTACAGCCACGCGGTGGACTCCGGAAAGAGAAGCGTGCATGGTAGAGTAGTGTTGCTGTACTTTGAACTCTGTGAGCAGACTTGGGGTGGATCTCCATCCGTCACCAAGATTAATTCTGTCATCAAAACCATCGTTATGAACAACGATGATGATCCACAGTCGGTCAGTAGAGATAGTCCTTCCCCTTCACTCTATAGTTCTGCTTCTTCCCCTGCCGCTGCTAGCACTTCAAGTCCGGGCGTGGACACAGAGGGGATGTCTACCGTGATCCAGAACAGATGAGACAGGCTGAACACAAAGTGACATTAATCTTTAACAACACTATCAAACTGGATAGCAGGCACAACAACTACAGTACAACATCGTCCACCATCTTGTTTGTATTGAGCTGAATGGGTCACACGATTGCCTCTAAAAATACGTCATTGTTTTTGAATATCTCTATTTCCCCAGTTCTTGCTACAAAGCAAAAATGGCATTTTCAAATTTATCCACTTGGGACACCGTTTTTGAAAAGCTGTTTTTTTTCACTGGACAAATATGCTGTTTCAGTGTGGACAGAAGGCCAAAACGAAGAGAAAAAAATGCGCTTTACAAATTTATCCGGATTAATGTGGATTTAAGACAATAAGACCTAAGACACTACTCAAATGATTGACTATTTCATAGGTCTGGGTGGACGACCGGTCACAAAATATTGCATGCCCGGGAGAAAAGATTGACAGAGCACAATTAGAGAAGTTTGTGTCTTTGAGTGGGAGTTTTGTAGGCCTGCTTTAAAGAGCTGTCCTGAATGTCTGTCTCTTTTATGTCAATGACAGGATGAGTTATAGGGGAATGAAGAGGCTCTGGGAGCAGGCTAAGATCCTCACTGACCTCAGAGTAACAAACTGGCTTAGGGAGGACTGCAATACATGATGTATTTATCTTCAAGTCTCTCGATGCTACTAAATCCACATCATGTCTTACTGTGAATGAAACTTGAGCAATGCCAACTGGTACAATACAAGAGAGTGTGTAAGAGGGATTAGTAGTGTAGGCGTAAATTATGTGGTGCAGAACAAATGTTTCTTTTCCTTAGCAAAGGGAATTATGATGCTAATTTAAAACCAGAATTCATGCATATATGTTGACAAATATTATTTAAAATAATGAATCAGCAAGATGTAACTGATTGAGCTGCAAGTGATGTAGGGGAAGTTCTTCTAAATATGATAGTACATCATGAGTCTGTAATGAAAGGTACACAGTTTACACACAGACTGTAAATATCACTCACACTCTCAAAGTCTTGCTGCCAATCGAGAGTGACTTTTTACTATCTGATTGGCTCAAGCTCTCTTCCCAAAGCTTGTTATTAACAGCCTGTCTTCTTTTTTCACTGTTGCTCTCTTTATCACTCCCCCTGTCGCTCTCATTTTTTTTTCTCCACACCCAATAAATAGATATAAATAAAAGCCTTCAGGTCCAGGTGGTGTGTGAGGATCTCAGTAACTACGTAGTCGGCTGACAGGGAGCAGTGTCAGGCTCAGTGTCCTATCTCTCTTTCACCACCTCTCTTTTTATTTCACTTTCCTCTTTCATGCTTACCAACTGCATGCCATTCATCAATCAAGACAGGAGATGCATGTCTGAGCCTGAGATTGTGCAGCTCTCCTGTTAGCATGAATCATACATAGATTATACATATATTTTGCATTGTATAGGAAAATGCAAAATATATGTATAATCTATGCTTAGATGTTTGGAAGAGATACTAATAGAGAACATATGCCTTGAAGCTATCAATTGCATATATGTATTATTGTATGGCTCAGTGCAGGTTCAAATGTCCTTTTGAAATGTGTCAATATCAATGCAAAATTTTATTTCAAGGTAAAAATTGAAACAGTATCAATTCTGGGTGCAGAGAGAGAATTGATATTAAACGGTTTATGTCCCCATTCACCAAACAACAAAGTGTTGGCCAGCTCGTGTATCCAAGCCATGATGAAGGCCTAGATCCTCAATTATGTTGTCTTATTTCCTTATTTATTTTAGTATGATGTGTTAATATGTTCTGCTTGGCTACACCAGATTACCAAGAGACCTTCGCTTTTCTTTGTTTTGAACATTTAATGAGGGGGAACATTCTTCCTCCAACTGCTGGTGGAGCAACAGCAGGGAATACGGCCGAGTTCCATTGGGAGCCTCCAAGCAACAGAGCTGAGCGATTAGTTCGCTTTTTGTATTCTAAATATCAACACAGAAATCAGCCCACAACAATAGTCAGAGAAATTCCAGGCCTGCAGCTCAGTTGACTCATTTGATGGAAAATGATAAACAAAGGAGGGAAAACGTATTAGTCTGAATATTCTGCATTTCAAAAAAAATGCCTCCATGAAGTCTATGAGTTACAGAGAAAATATGCTTGGAATATCAGGGACATATGGTTCTTGTTTTTTGTAATTTGCACCAATACTGAGAGAGTTAAGCCGCACAAGTACTGTTGTGGACAACTTTGTTCCACATCTCAGTCACATCCCCTTTTAAGACAGACAGGGAGCTTTGTGTTTGTACTATATAATTTGCCTTTCCCTTTATCAGTGACTACAGTGACCTTCACCGCTGAAGCAAAACGTCCTACTAAATTTTTGAACTAATTAAACCTAGGAGGTCAGTGCTGCCAGCATCTCCCTAGTACATACACTGAACCAAAACAGACTCAAATATTTCAGTCCAGAGCGCATAAACATCACCGGCAAACCAACAGAAGCTGTATAAATCTCAGTACTCAATACATTATGGACAATATATCAGTGCTTTTCAATACCAGTCCTGTAGTAGCTGTGTCCTATATACGGTATTTTAGTGCTTTTCCTGATCTATTATACTTGAGACAAGACAAGAGCCAACCTGATTTGGGTTGAACTGTGTGTGTTAGAGCTGTGAAAACACTATGCAGTGTGTAGTGCAATGCAGTGCATGCAGGGTACTCCAGGTTAGGCCTGGATAAGGACATCTCAAGCGGGGCCAAGGTTGATAGTTTTTGCCTGGCCCGGGCTGAGGGAATGTGGCTTATGTCTGGCGTGCATATACAAGTGAGTTATTGAACCAAACATAACCAGTGCATGAAGCTGAGCATGACAAATTTCTTAAAGACTTAAGAACTTACGATTCCCCATCTGTAACACTGTCTGTAGGTCTGTGATGTGCCTCATACACGAGTAGAACCCTTTTTGGAAGCTAAGAAGAACCTTTTTTTTCTAAGATTATAGACAGAACACACATTTCCCCATATAAATCAATAATAATTAATGGTACATAAGGTCAAGCCACTAAAATTAAATGAGTGAAAGCAAATAAAATACAGTAAACTGCCATAGGAGATAAACAAATCATGATGTGATTCACTTTGTACAGACATGCAATAGGAACAGATTCTCACTATTTAAGTTACCAAGTACACATTTAAACATTTACTTTGATTTTGGGGAAACTAAAAATATTGCTACAGACATCGTGCCTGTATCTAAATGATATGTTGCATCTAAATAAACTACAGAATAAAGTGCATAAACTTGCTAACCTACAGAGAGCACGAGTCAATGATGTAGCAATCTTTCCAACTTTGTAGTGAGCAAAGCAGGAAATACTCATCACCTGTACTTGTGCACCCAGCCTTGAAGTGAGTGAAGTGCAAAATGCTTATGCTTATGTTTATGTAGGCAGCCTAAGCACAATGTCCTGCTGAAATTATGAAATATGTAGCAAAAAGTAACGTTAATGTGGGTTTTACAAGATCAACTCATTCATTTTCAGTAAACGCTTTATCCTGGTCAGGGTCGTGGTGGAATTCACCCCGAATGGGACACCAGTACATCATAGGGCATGATGGGCACACATTGTAGTGTAACCACTCCAGGCAGACACAGGAAGAACATGCAATACTCCTCACGGACCGTAACTCAAGCTCAGAATCAAACTGGGGACCCTGGCGTTGTGAGGTAGCAATACCACCCACTAAGCCACTGTGCCACCCAAGTTTAATTTATATTTAATTTAATTCATTATAGGTACTGTGCAACCTATGTTTTCCATATACATTTCATTTTTGTTGATTGTTAGAACAGATGAAGGGAGTGCATGATGAATGCAAAGCTAAATGCACTCATTAATTATCTGTGTTTTATTTATGTTTTTATTCATACTCTTAAAACCTTATTCTTAAAAAAAATGATTATAACAATTACAATTTTTAATTTAGTAATGAATGGCAAATGCCATAAATGGAAATGTAAATTCCTTCACAAGCCACTCTTTAAGCAACTAAGACAAAATAATACAGACTGTCAAGTTACGGAGAAACCAGAAAAGTCCTCTTTCCTGAAAACTTACTGACCATTACAAAGCACTGATACCGTAGACTTGTTCTATAAACGTCGAGCTTAATGATATGGTAGATTTGATATTCATATACATAATCTAATACATACACAAATCGTGGGTTGACAAGCACTGCTGCTGTGTATTTAAGGATAAACAATAATTAACTAAAACTATTTGTTTGGTGCATAAGACCTGATTTTAAGAGAATTAAGCCATACCTTCAGTCTCTCTGACACCCCATCAGTGAAGCTTATGGTGTACTCCTCCACCTTAGGCACCTTCATCTTGGCCTTGTTCTTCTGCTCCGTCTGGTATTCAGTTCGTGTCTTTACCACAACCTGCACAAAAAGTATAACAGTATAACACACATAAAATGTACAAAATAAACTGTAGAAAATCTTTTTTAGCATGATGGTCCTCTTAGTCCCTGACCTTGTGAACTAGCATGAGGTGAACCAGCATTTCTGGCAGAGACTAAAAGCACTTCTGTAAGTATCATTTTTGAATCTCATTGTCATTGCATTTACCTTGCTCTTGTTTTTAAAACTATTGGTAATGCTTAACATCCCCTGGCATACTCCTTTCCCTCTCAGTGTGCAATGTTGTGCCTCCTATTTTTCATCATCATTTTTCAAAAGTAAACTATAGGTAGAGTAATCTAAAATTAAGAAGGGAGAGTGAATAGACATCCTGGTTGATTACAGTCAATGGGGGCGCTCAAATCCAGGGCTATATACAACTCCCCTGCTCTTGACATATCACAAAATAAAACCTAATCACAAAAAAACCTAACAGGTAGTTTGCCACTTAGCTTCTAAGGCACATGTATCAACGCCTATGGGCCAGACATGAGCTGCTGCCTTGTTTCATTCAGCCCGTGCAAACTTGTGATCACAATTGCCTCCCTCACTGTGGTGTGGTGCCAAAGAGGTATTAGGGGCGTATGGCCCCCTGGTGTGAAGTCAAAATATTTCAACCAGTTGCAATTAAGGGTAGTCCATCTGGCTCTGAAGTTCTTGCCAGTTCTCAAATGTTGGCATGTGCTGATCTGCAGAGACGACCTTGTGAAGCTCAGATATAGCAGCCATCAGGGCAACACAAGGTTGAGGACTCTCTCTGCTGGGTCCCAGCATAGGACCTCCGCCTTGTGCTAAATTAAAGACCATCCTTATGAGCCTATGCATGAAGTTTACTTGAAGTGTGTGTCTTTGAACTGGCTTCTTGCTAGCAGTCACTTCTGCTAAAAGAGAGGGAAATTTGCATGCTCTGGCAGCTTGCCTTGCATACATTGGTGGCCAGATGACTCTTTGGTGGCCTTTGGGCAGGGATTTCTGCCCAAGGTCATATTACCCAACTTTGTGACTCAGTTGATGGACCTTGCAGTCTTCAGTGAGGGCAACCTTGAAGAGCATTCATTGCTGTGCTTTGCTTCTGGTATTATTTAGGCCAGACAGTAGCTATCTTATCCTCAGACGAACTGTTTATTTGCCATGGAAAAAAGACACAGGGTGCTCCCATGTCTGAGTAGGGGCTGGCCCAATGGATGATGGATGCCATCACCTTGGGCTATAGAACGGAACGGATGGGTGCCCAGCCCCTACTGTGAAATGCCACTCCATGATAAGCACCTCTTCCAAATGGGCCTTATATAGGGATGTACCACTCCATTAAATCTGTGCGTTCTCCTGTTCCTAAAAGACGAGCAAGTCAGCAATAAGAAGAGTCTTGTTCCTCATAACATTGTTGGTACACATTATCCAGGTATTACATTATTATCCTTATTCACAATGTTAATGAAACATTGTGTTGAATTTATTTTGCTCAAAGAAACTCAGAAATCCTGTTGAGTTACCCAATGTTGGCTAGATGTCTAGTGTTAGCTACCGCTAAAGGTCGCAGTGGACTGTGTTGAGGTAAAATAACAATTTGCTAGGGATAACATGGTAATCTTTAGATTCAGATTCAGATTCAAGTTGCTTTATTGGCATGATAAAAAGGCTTTACATTGCCAAAGCACTGGTAACATTAAATTATAGACATACACATTTACACACAATTAAAAAAAAAAAAAGTTTGATAAAATAATAGCAAAAATACATACACACACAATTATTTGTTTTATTACCCAAATGTTTCTGAGCATTTTATTCATGTTTACAGTGTTGATGTTTTCGTGTGGTTGGTGGTCCTGTTCCACTGGGCCTGTTCCACTGGTTCCACTTTTTGTCGTGACACAAACCTGGCAGCCAGGATTGAGCTTGCTGAGGTTTCTCCTAGCAGATGTGGGAGTTTGTTCTTGCTTGGCATCAGATTGAAGTCTTTTTCATGTTTCAGGTTGTGAAGTGGGGGGAAAATGTTTCCCTAATTTGTGTATAATTAGGGCAAAAAGTGCAGTTCTGTTTCCACTTCATTTTGTATTCAGCGGGGGCACAGCCTGTCTTTGGTAGCCAGGTCTGTCTGTATGTCTCTATGGCAAGGTTGTGATCACGGAGTCTGTACATGGTCAGGACTTTTCTTAGTTTAGGGTCGGTCACTGTGCTCAGATATTTTGCCAATTTATATTCTCTGTTTAGGGACAGATAACATTCTAATTTACTTTGAGTTGTTGCTTCTGTCCCGTGTTTTAGATATTTTTCTTTTTGTGTTTTAATAATTTGATTAGGTCTATCGGAGGTTTTGTTCTGGGCTTTGGCTGGACATGTTTTGGATTGTAAAATCAGCTCTAAGGCCAGCTGGTTGACGGGGCTTCTCTCCGGGGTTAGCTCTTTATCTAGAACTGTTGTAAAAGGCTTTATGTTTATAGAAAGCACAGTTATTTGAAGATTATTTACTTTTGATTTTACATTATTTTATTCAGTTGTTCTTAATGTTTGCCATCTCTTTTAACGGCACAGTTACTTATTCAAACTTTTCATCCACTATATACACATGTGGCTGGGTTACCAGTCCATCCAAGGCCCATCAGACAAGATATCCCAAGATCAGGAGAAATTTCAAATACGCATCACTGTGAGCATACTCTGTATCTCATGATTGTTTTGCTACAATGGGTTTAGGAAATGAGGTTAAACTGGTGTCCTGGAAATAATCTAGTTGCCTTGGCAAATAATGCCCTAATTTATTTCCCCTAGATTGCCTTTAGTCATGCATATAAAACCAATCACATCTCTTATGTTGCCTTCTAAATGTGTCCGTTATATTAATTGTAGACTGATTTGGTCTGTTCTCACAAAATGTTCACAGTCTGTAAACAGAAATGTCTCAAATCCAGGAAGATTGAAGGGTTCCTTTGTTGTCTGTATACATGTTTACAGAAGCGTTAAAATCCTAAGTGTGTCTGACAGTGCACACATAATCTTAAAACCATAGATCTGACAGCTCAATTGCACATGCAAAGCAGGCGCTTGACCTTAAACACATGGGCATGCTGTTTTTATATTTTATACGTAGTTTTATTGTAACACAATATTTATTCTCTTCTAGAAAGATCCTGGACCACATTTCCATGCATAACATATTCTCCTTTAGTTTTTTTGCCAACGTTTTTTGCTGTGAGCTGTAGTGTTTTCTCTTCACATCACACAAAAGATATTACTCCTGCCTGACTAGTGTCTTTACTTTCCCTCGACATGTTTAACCACGAGGGGTCTGGGTGTAGTAAAGCGCAAATTTGTCTCACGCTTTATTTTGCACGGTTTCATCACCGTTTCCACATATGGGCATGCTCCTGGTTCTAAGCAGTTCATCTGTTATCCTTGCTTGTTATATGTGATTATTATATGTGATATGTTTTAATTTTATAGTTCACATATATGTCACAGATACTCCTACTTGGTGCAGTTCAAAGCACCCTGAGCACTGCATTCATGTTTTGTTTTGAGTTCATGTCATGTGGATTTATGCTGACATGTTTTTATTTTTTTCTTTTCAAAACATTTTATTTAATACATTATTAACATTCCAAATTTTCTATAGTCAGTTTTCCTGTTAATTTCCTGTTAAAGGTGGATCACAAAAACTGTATCACAAAAAGAGAAACATATACATATTCTGTACATATACATTTGGGAAGCTGCGTTGGTACAGGAAATAAGGGCATGTCTAAAGACCATGAATTTAAGATCTTGTTACCTTGAGTCTTATTTTACAACTGAATATCCACACTTTTCATATTTTGTTCTGCATTTGAAAACTTTTCCGGGGTGGAATTGATTGTAGGCTAAAAGCCATACTATCACAGAGTGTCTTTGGTTTTTCCCTGTACTGATGAGGTCAAATATTTATACCTCAGCGAAACAGGAAATGGTCATAAGCTACAGCTTATGGGGACGTATGAGTTCCTAGGGACTAATAGCAACTTGAATAAAAAATAGGATTTTCTTTTTTTCAAGGATGTCAATTGGTTTTCATTAATTTCTTAAATATTATTTAAAGATTCCAATCATTCTGTCATGTAACTTTTTTTTTTATTATTATTTTTTTAAAAAGAGGTTCTTTAAAAACAGAAGTTCTTATGAAAATGATTTTTCGTTAGAGCAAAGGTCGGTAGTTTCTCCAATTATTTGAGCATAGAATTTGAATCATATAGTGTGATTTCGTTTAAATATTGTGTTTATTTTTTTTTTCTTTTTAAAGAGTGCCAAACATTCTGTGTCTG